ATCAAAGTTAAGGACATAGTGTCCTATTTTTGCAACTTGTACTGATAAAGTTTAGGACATGATATCCTTAACTTCATAACTACTGTGTAAAAATTAAGGACATAGTGTCCTATTTTTGCAACTTGTACTAATAAAGTTTAGGACATGATGTCCTTAACTTCATGACTACTGTATAAATATTAAGGACATAGTGTCCTATATTTGCAACTTGTATTGATAAAGTTTAGGATATGATATCCTTAACTTCATGACTGTTGTTCTAAATATTAAGGACATAGTGTCTTGTGTTTTGCAACTTGTATTGATAAAGTTTAGGACATCTTGTCCTTAACTTCATGATTGTTGTATAAATATGTCCTGAATTTCCCATTTTCTTGACATGCAGGATGGATACAATATATATTATAGTTGCTTTTAATGGTAGATGGACTGCAGACTATAAGTATCTTGATTATCAAACAGAGCTTGTTCTAGTACCTGAGGTAATTCGATTTGAAGATTTCATTAACCAAGTCTTTGAAGTTATTGAATTGGATAGAGACAAGTTTGAAGCAATGATATGGTTTGATATCAATCTGGGAACAAGCAAGGGAATGCTTGTATCCAAAGATTTAGATCTTCATACATGTATAGAGTTACTAAAAAGTCATTCACTCTTAAAGGGCTGTCGTTTCATTGCTGATATTTCGGAAAGAGTTTTTGATTCTACAAGCACCTTTGAACATGTCAATACAGAAACTCAACAATACAATCAAGACAAATGCCAACAGATAATGGAAATAGATGTGGTTGAAGCTCAACCAATAACTGAAGAGGTGCTTTAAACATTTGATTCTATTCAAGTGGAAGGACAAAGCATTATAGAGATTGACAATGGACAAGTTTTGTGTATTCAAGTCTTAGAGAGTGCACCGGTAATAGAAGAAGTTGCTGAAAAAACCTTTACTCAACTAACTAGATGAAGCTCAAATTCGAAACAAAAAGAATCCCCAACTACGATATTAAGAGAAAATGCTCTTCGTTTGACAAAAAGAAGAGTATAATTAATTATTTTTCCAATATAGCAATTAAAGGACATTTTGAATTTAAGGTTGTTAGATCAGACTCAACAAGATATTCGTTGAAATGCAATGATAATAGGTGTGAGTGGTGTGTGTGTGCTTTCAGAGTTAAAGATTCAACACTATTCAAGATAGTAAAGATTGAGAAAAATCATGACTGCTCAGTTAACACTATGAAAGCTTATCAAAGGCATGAAACTTCAAAGTTGATTAGTGGTTACATTATCGATAATCTTCGAGACCCAAGGTTTGAAGTTACACCAGACTTTGTCATGGTAGAAATGCAAAAATTGCATGGACTAGACATTGGTTATCACAAGGCGTGGCGTGCTATTCAACGTGCTTCAGCTTTAATAAGAGGAACTCCTGAAGAGAATTATGAATTATTGTCTTCATACTTGTATATGATGAAAAGTAAAAATCCGGGAACATACACTAACATAAAGATAGACGACAACAACAGGTAAACAATCAAAAAGAGTTTATTAGTCTGTTTTATAAACTTTAGGACATGGTGTCCTTTACTTGGATGTGTGCAATGAAAATGTTAAGAACATGGTGTCCTTAACTTCGATGTGTGCAGTGAAAAAGCTAAGGACATGGTGTCCTTAACTTGGATGTGTGCAATGAAAAAGTTAAGGACATGGTGTCCTTAACTTCGATGTGTGCAGTGAAAAAGCTAAGGACATGGTGTCCTTAACTTCGATGTGTGCAGTGAAAAAGCTAAGGACATGGTGTCCTTAACTTCGATGTGTGCAGTGAAAAAGCTAAGGACATGGTGTCCTTAACTTCGATGTGTGCAGTGAAAAAGCTAAGGACATGGTGTCCTTAACTTCGATGTGTGCAGTGAAAAAGCTAAGGACATGGTGTCCTTAACTTCGATGTGTGCAGTGAAAAAGCTAAGGACATGGTGTCCTTAACTTCGATGTGTGCAGTGAAAAAGCTAAGGACATGGTGTCCTTAACTTCGATGTGTGCAGTGAAAAAGCTAAGGACATGGTGTCCTTAACTTCGATGTGTGCAGTGAAAATGTTAAGGACATTGTGTCCTTAACTTGGATGTGTATACTGAAAAACTTAAGGACATGATGTCCTTAACTTTGATGTTTGCAGTGAAAAAGTTAAGGACATGGTGTCCTTAACTTTGATGCGTGTATTGTAAAGGTTAAGGATAAGTTGTCCTTAACTTTGATGTGTGCAGTGAAAATGTTAAGGACATGGTGTCCTTAACTTGGATGTGTGTAGTGAAAAACTTAAGGACACGATGTCCTTAACTTTGATGTGTGCATTGTAAAAGTTAAGGACATGGTGTCCTTAACTTTGATGTGTACAGTGAAAAAGTTAAGGACATTGTGTCCTTAACTTTGATGTGTGCAGTAAAAATGTTAAGGACACCATGTCCTTAACTTTGATGTGTGCAGTGAAAAAGTTAACGAGATGGTGTCCTTAATTTTGATGTGTGCAGTAAAAATATTAAGGACATGGTGTCCTTAACTTTGATGTGTACAGTGAAAAAGTTAAGGACATTGTGTCCTTAACTTTGATATGTGCAGTGAAAATATTAAGGACATGGTGTCCTTAACTTTGATGTGTGTATTGTAAAAGTTAAGGACAAGTTGTCTTTAACTTTGATGTGTGCAGTGAAAATATTAAAGACAAGATGTCCTTAACTTTGATGTGTGCAGTATAAATGTTAAAGATTTGGTGTCCTGTATTTTTAACCTTTTGTTAAACTATATTTTCAGGTTTCTTTATATGTTTTATGAATATGGATCATCAATAGCTGGTTGGAATTATTTTATACCAGTGATTGCTGTTGATGCAACTTTTTTGAAGTCAAAATATCGTGGTGTTTTAATGATTTCAGTTTCAAAGGATGCAAATAACCAAATATTCCCATTAGCCTTTGGAATTGCAGAGTCTGAAAATAACAATTCCTATGAGTGGTACTTTAGTGAGCTTCGCAATGCAATTAGGAGCCGTGATAATTTAATTTTTTTATCGGACAGGCATCAATCTATTGCACATGGCATGTATATCCTGAAAGCTATCATGGGATTTGTATCTATCATTTGGAGCAGAACCTAAAGCAAAGGAAAGTGAAAAGTGAGGTCATAAAACTTTTTCAAAGTACTGCAAGAGTATACACGCGCAAAGAATTTGATCTATACATGTCAGATATAGCAAAAGTTGATAAGAAGACTTTTGACTATTTTATGGAAGAACCACTGGAAAGGTGGGCACGTTCTTGTAGTCCACGACGAAGATATGACATGCTCACAACAAACATAGTTGAGTCAATGAATTCTGTGCTATTAGAAGCAAGGGAGTTGCCTATATTAAGAATGATGGATTTCATCCAAGTGAAGCTACACCGTTGGTTTTATGAAAAAAGAAATAAAGCAGAAGGAACTTTTTATGATGTTTCTTGTTGGGTAGAAGAGGAATTGAAGAAAAAGATAGATTTAGCTTTTACTTTAAATGTAAGTATTATGTTCTTACTTTAGTTTATTATTTTAATAATAATTTAACATAATGTACTAACTTATAGTTTTTCAACTTTGAAGGTCTTCCCTGTTGATTCATGGCGTTCTAGAGTTGAGGAAGAAGGAATTACTTTCTTGGTGGACTTAAACAAAAGAACATGTGATTGTTTTCAGTTTCAATTTGATGAATTACCATGTATACATGCAATTGCAGCTATCGAGAAGAGAAACATCAAGAAGTCCAATTTCTGCTCGGACTGGTACTTAAAGGAATCTTGGCTGAAAACATATGAAAGACAAATACATCCTGTAGGACATACGTATTCTTAGATTGTACCAGAGAGTGTTAAGTCACAAATTATTAAACCTCCAGTTTTCAAAGTCCCGCCAGGTAGAAGGCAGAAGAAAAGGCATATTCCAGCTATCGAATCATCAAAAATAACATTCAAATGTGGTCGTTGCAGAAGAATTGATCATAATAGAACATC